GAGACTGAGTGAGTGAAGGTGTGCATAAATAGATTTTGAATTTGTTATATGCATGTTTGATGCATTAAGTTATTTTAAAAACATTGTGGGCAGTTCTGCTAGAATCATTTGAAGGCCGGAGGCCATTTATGTAAATTGCATGAGATTATATTGTGCATGCTGCCGGTTGGGTTATAAAATGTGTTTTATGCAGGTGGAAATTTTGGGGAAATGTTCAATTTACAGGGGAGACCCTGCCGAAATTTCGGTAGGAAGTCTCGTGCCCTTAATCCTCTCTGGTAAACGAGGACATAGATTTAAGGAGTGAACCCGGCATGGGGATGATGCCGAGGTCTCCGCAGGGTTCGTCTCGGGTTCCGGGAAATTCGGGACGGGTCCTGTCACTTGGTAACAACCGAACCATCCTGTATTTTGTCCTGAATAAAGTGGCAATCCATTTCTATATGCCTGGTTCTCTCATGGAAAACGGGATTGGCTGCTATATGTAAGGCTGCTTTGTTATCACAATGTAGCAACGCCGGTTTCGAATGCAATATTCGTAAATCCTTCAATAATGAACGTAACCAAGATAACTCACAGCATGTACCTGTCATGGCTCTATATTCAGATTCTGCTGAAGAGAGTGACACTGTTTTCTGCCTCTTCGTTCGCCAAGAAACAAGTGAAGATCCTAAAAAACACAATAACCCGTAGTGGATCTACGAGTCATTGGACAACCAGCCCAATCCGAGTCACAAAAGGCTCGCAAAGACAAATCATTTTGAGAAGAGAAAAATAAACCCTGTCCTAGAGCACCTTTCAAATAACACAACACACGTAAGGCAACTTCCATATGTGGCCTGCGTGGTGCATGCATGAATCAGCTTAATACATGTACCGAATACATGATATCCGACCGAGTAATAGTTAAATAAATTAGGCGTCCCACAAGTCGCCTATATTGAGATGGATCTCTAAGCAATTCGCCTGTATCAGAGAGCATTATGTTTTGCTCCATGGGAAAGTTCACAGGTTTAGCACCCAAAATTCCATCATCCTTCAGAATTTCCAAAGTGTATTTTCGCTGTGAGATAGAAATACCTCTCTTTGATCGAGAGACTTCAATGCCCAGAAAATATTTCAAATCACCCAAATCTTTAATTCGGAAACAACTATGCAAAAATTGCTTAAGAGTGGATATAGCCTTGAGATCATTACCCGTAATAAGAATATCGTCAACATATATCAACAGGGCGGTAAAGGACTTTCCATTCTGACATGTGAATAACGAGTAATCTTCTTTGGACTGAACATATCCGGCAGCTTGAATAGCTGTTGAGAACTTGGCAAACCATTGACAAGAAGCTTTCTTTAAACCATACAACGACTTGTTGAGGCGACACACCAAGTTCTCCCCCCGTCACTGAAGACCAGGAGGTGGGGACATATAAATTTCTTCATGGAGATCACCATGAAGGAAAGCGTTGTTGACATCTAATTGGTGAAGGGACCAATCCTGAGCAGCTGCCATAGCCAATAAACAACGAACAGTAATCATTTTAGTAATGGGAGAAAAAGTGTCATGATAATCGATACCTTCCAACTGTGTATAACCCTTGGCCACCAAATGAGCTTTATAACGCTCTATGATGCCATCTGAGTGGCGTTTGATTTTATAAACCCAACGGCATCCAATGGGTTTCTTGCCATGAGGGAGGGGAGTGAGAGACCAAGTGTGGTTGGCTTTTAAAGCTGCCAATTCAAATTGCATCGCGTCCTTCCAGTGTGAATGGGAAGCAGCTTCTGAATAAGAGTTGGGCTCAACATCCTAACTAATAGTAGCAACAATAGAATGATGATGTGGTGAGTAACGATGGTAAGAGAGAAAGTTACAAAGAGGATACCTCGTACCTTTGGTGGAACCAAACGACGAAGGCAGCGACGGTTTGGGAGACGTCACTTGGTTGCAAACGTAATCACGTAAAGCACGGGGAGGGCTGTGATGTCGTTGAGAACATCGTAAAACCGGTATGGAAGGGGGCTGAACGACGCTGGCAGGAATGGGCTGATCATAGGTGGAAGTGGCTGGATCCAGAGACGCAAAAGGAGAATCTGGCTGGGCCATGTCAAATGGGGTGACGGGATGGACCGGTTCTAATGGTGCTGTGGAGGTTGTGGGGAATGAGTCTGAAATAGGAAGGTCAGACATAAAATGAGGAATGACGGGGGCTGGAGGTGTTGGAATGGATTGAGGGGACGCATAGGGAAAAATGTTTTCATGAAAAACAATGTCACGACTGGTGAAAAATTTATGAGTGGTAAGGTCATAGAGCTTGTAAGCTTTTTGACCAACCGGGTAACCAAGGAAAACACAACATTTGGCTCTAGGAGCGAATTTATGAGGGACATGGACATCAGTAGCATATGCAAGACACCCGAAAACCTTAAGATGGGAATAGGAAGGAGCCTTGCCATAAAGGCGTTCAAAAGGAGTCTGTTGGGAAAGAAGTGGTGTGGGCAAACGATTAATTAAATGTACAGTGCTGAGAACACATTCTGCCCAAAAACGCAAGGGGAGATGGGCTTGAAAGAGAAGGGCACGGGCTGACTCAAGGATATGATGATGTTTGCGCTCTACAACCCCATTTTGTCGGGGTGTATAGACACAAGAGTGTTGATAAGTGGTGCCATTTTGTTGAAAAAAATCTTTCATAGAAGAGAATTCCCCCCCATTATCAACACGAATGTTAGCAATGGATGCAGCAAATTGAGTTTTGACAAAGGAGAAAAAATTTGTAAGTAAATGTTGTGTTTCACTTTTGTGTTTCATAAAGAATACCCATGTGAAGCGAGAATAATCATCCACAATTGTCAAAAAATATTTAGCACCAGAAAAAAAAGGAATTTTGTAGGGGCCCCAAATATCACAATGAATTAACTCAAACGGTCTAACAGACAAAATTGAACTAGCAGAAAAAGGAAGTCGACATTGTTTTGCAAGTGCACAAACATCACAAGCATTATTGGATTTGAAAGGGAAATTGAGCAAATTTTTTGCCATAAAATCTAATCTAGAGGAAGATAGATGCCCTAAGCGGCGATGCCACAAGTCGGTGGAGGAGGTAACATGAGAACAAGATGGATGGCTAGCAAAGGCAGCGGAGGATCTGAATTTAGGGCTCGGTGTTGTTGACGCCAATGCGACCAAGTAATAAAGTCTGCCTCGTTGTTTACCCAAACCAATCGTCGTCTTCGTCGTTAAGTCCTGCAAAATACACCAATAGGGAAAAAAGGTTACAGAACAATTGAGACCTCTTGTAACTTGACTCACAGACATCAAATCCACCTTAAAAGATGGCACACCAAGCACATTTTAAAGAGAAATAATAGAATTCAAAGGTAAAGTTCCAGTAGATGTGATTGGAGCCTGTTCCCCACTTGGCATAAAACAGTGTTCTGACGACAGTTGACAAGCAAATTTGGAGAAGAAGTAATATGATCAGTTGCACCACTATCGAGGATTAATCGATGGAGGTGCAACGGTGCTTGTGACAAACTTGAAGAAGTACCAGCAACATTGGCCTTAGGATTGGAGGATTGATTTCCCCCTTTATTGTTCATAATAGATAATATCTGTTGATATTGTAGATCAGAGAGTCCATTCATCACCGACTGCATCTCCTGCATTGTTGGACCTTCCTTGACATGATTGATTGAAGACTGAGCAGAATTGTCGGAACTGTCGAACTGAGAACGATTGCCTCCGTGATTGGACCGGTTTGATTTATGTTTCGGATGCCCTGGTGGATACCCGTGCAACTTCCAACATGTGTCTCGTACATGATGATCCTTATCACAGTAGGAGCAATGCAACGGCTTGCGGTTAGAGGAGTTGGAACGAGAAGAAGAACCTTGTCCTGGTCGAACTGCTAGAGCTACGGGTTCATCTCTTCGAACGGCCATGGCTGCAGTCTCAGTGGTCTCACGTGCATCACCTAAGCTGCGCTGTTTTTCTTCTTGAACAATGGAAGAGTAGGCCTGGCGAACATCAGGTAACGGATTCATCAATAAGATTTGCCCTCGGATTGCTTTATAAGGCTCATTTAGGCCCATGAGAAATTGCATCAATTGGCGTCGCTTATGATCTGCCCCACAAGAGCAAACGGTGTCATTATAAGAACCCAGTTCATCCCATAATCCTTTTATCTTCGTATAGTATGCCGCAACAGTCATCTGAGCTTGAGAAAGACAAGCGATGTCCCTCTCAATCTGAAAATACGAGGGGCGTTGCTCTGAGAAAAACGATCCCGAAGGTCTTCCCAAATCTCCTGGGCTGTAGTTGAATATATGACACTATCTGCAAGGTCAGGTGTGATTGAATTGAGGATCCAAGAGAGAATCATATCGTTGCATCTTCTCCATGAAGCATGATAATCTAGACGGCTCTTGGCAGACGGCATTTTTATTGTACCATCTATAAAACCCAACTTGGATTTGGCGTTTAAAGAGATGGTCATGGCTCGGCACCAGGTCGAAGAATTATCGCCATTGAGAGGCTTGGAAACAAGGACCAATCCTGGATGATCGGAATGGTAGAGAAAAAAGGGATCGACGGCATTGTTCTTGCCTTCATTGTTCTGGTCTTCCCTCGAAGATTGCTCGCGCTCCATGATGAGGAGCAATGGCAGAGGAAAGAAAAATTGAGACGGCAAAAAAGAGAGCTAGGGTATGTCTTCCTGCTCTGATACCATGTAAAATAGGGAAGAAAGATATTTGCCTGAATGATTTTCATTGAGTTTGAGAGTGTAACTTTATACAAGAGATTTCCAATAATGATGCTAAGCTGTTCTAGGAATCTAAATTACAATAGGAAAAGAAATATTCTACAGCACATAATTACATATTTGTTTCCTAATCCATCCTGTGAACATTAGGAAATCATTGACCTTCTTAACAGTCACTGGGGGTGCTTCTATTGATTTAATATATTATTAATACAATGCATCATGGTTAGTGCACAATTGCCTGAAGAATGATGAGACTTTATAGTTGAAGGCTTGAAACCTTAATCAGAATAAAATTCTACATATATATTACTAGCTAGTTGATTATTTGAGACTGGCAATGGAAATGCAATAAAAATAATAATTAACATCTTATGGTAAAATCTTTAGCTTTTTCTCAATAGCACTTGATTCACTAAATTGTCTAAGTTTGTGGATGAAGAACCATGTGGACCAGTAGCTTCTTCTGCAAGTTTCTTCCACTCCATGACCTTATTTTTCATCTTCTTACCCTTCTCGCCCTCCATCAACTCTTTGACAAGCTTCTCTACCTCATCCCTCTTCACATCATTACTAATCTCCATGCCAATGCCCCATTCATTGCAAGTATAGCGACAGTCCATTTGCTGGTCTCCGAAGAATGGCCAACAGAGCATAGGAACTCCTGCAGTAATGCTCTCAACTGTTGAATTCCAACCGCTGTGCGTTAAAAATCCTCCAACTGATGGGTGGTTAAGGACTTGCTCTTGTGGGCACCACCCAGCTATTAGACTTCTTTCCCTCGTTTCAGCCACAAACTCTGGCGGCAAAATAGCGGATTCTCCAATAACTAGATCAGGTCTAATTACCCAAAAGAATGGAAGCTTGCTATTTGCAAGTCCCCACCCAAACTCCACAAGCTGTTGTGGTGTCACGATTGCTATACTGCCGAAATTCACATAGACAACTGAGTTTGGTGCCCTAGTGTTTAGCCACTCGAGGCATTCAGTTTCTTCTTTCCATAGACTGTATCCCATTTTCAAAGGGTGTTCTGGTATCTGATTGAGATGCAATTGAAGAGGACCAACGGTGTACACATGGGGAAGCATAGATGAGAGAGCATCCAAAACATCTGGCTCCAAGGCATCAAAAGTATGAAGAAGAACTGCTGAAGATTCATGAGCTCCATCGGTTGCTTCCATGACGAAGTTAAGCATGATATCATCCGAATTTGTGGTTCGCAAGAAGGTCGGGAGATCCCTCAAACGGATATCTCTCATTCCCGGGATCCAATCTATTACCGTTTCCAGATAGCCATTTGTGAAACAGCTCTCATCTGCAATAGACAAATAAAATTCAATTGAAGAAACATTTCATTTGCATTTTTAGAAACAACAATTGCTTTGATTAATAGTTATATATTTCACCTTTGAGTGGAGCAAGTCCCTTTTCGACCACAGCGCGAAGTTGTTTAAATCCCATGAAGCTGCAGGCAGCTATAGTGTAGAACAGCACTATAGGGGCTCCAATTTCTTCAGCAGCTATGCTTGTGAACGTGGACATGAAACCATCTGAAACTATGCAAGTCACAGGAGGATTGCTGGATGTTGATATGGCATCATTGTTGAGTTTTGCAAGGAGGGCAAGAAAGGGAGCCAAGAAATTTTGTTTTCTGACGGATTCACAAAGCAAGGTGATATCTTGTGTGGCATCTTCATCTGAATCCGGAATGCTATCCGGGATGGATTTGAATTGAAAATCAGGCAAGCCATCAAGGGAATTGGGTCCTAGAGATTTAAGAAAGCGCTTGTGATTGAACTCTGTGTTAACGAAGGTTATATGAAAACCTCTGTGGTGGAGGAGCTTTGCAAATTTAAGCATTGCCTTTATATGACTTTGAGCAGGAACTGGAATGCAAACAGCATGTGGCTTAGTAGCTACTTCTGTGAAATCCATCTGAGCTTTTGTGTGTGCATTGCAGTGCTTGCAAATGCAGATTATTCATAAAGCAAAACTGAGCTACTTTTCAATGTGTCCTGTTTTGGCTTTCCGTTTTTCCCCTCCACACAAGTAAGTCTATGCAGATAAGATATCCAGAGAGAGAAGAAAGTTGTCAGACAAATTGAGGTGAGTAGAAGCGAAGGAGAACTAGTATCTTCTATTAGTTTTTCCCCTATAAAGAATAATTTTGTTTCATTATCCTTTCTTGGCCTTTCCCCAATTCTTTCTCCAATTATTGGGCCACAAAAAGTTCAATTCTCATTCTACTTATGCTCTGAATAAGAAAATGACCAAAAAAAATAGAATAAATATATATATATAATCATGGCTTAATTATTGTTTTACTCCCTGAAACAAGCGATAGGTCTTAGTACCCCATAAAACTGAAAATTTCTCACTTATCCCTCCCGAATCTCTAAAAACAGCTGAAATTTTTTCACTTTACAACTTTCGTCTATTTTCGTCTTCAAAATCGTTAAATGTGCTGACGTGGCAGGGGCATTTTAATAATTCAGCTATTAAAAAACTTCATAATCCAAATTAAATATGTTTTTCTTTTTAAAGATTAATTTAGGTATTAAAAAAAAAATCTTTGTGTTTTGTTCCTTGGGCAGATAATTGTTTTAACTTTGATTTTACTTGTCATTGCAGATATCATTTCATAGTTATGGGTTACCTTTTTGTTTTTTTTTTTTTTGCTAGACTGCAATTTTGTTTCTCTCTCATAATTATCTTTAAAAAATTTCGTATTTGTTATTAATTTTGTGAATTTCTGGGCTATTTTTATGGTATCTTCATGTGATTTCTTATTTTTATTTTTGTGTACATGTTTTTTTTTAATTTTATACAAATTTAATTATTTTTTATATTAAATAATATAATAAACATTAAAATTAATTTTAAAATAAAAAATTTTGAAGTCCGATGCAGTCCAGCCCATACTTGTACCAAACAACGGACTAGATTTAAGTCTAGTGCAGTATAGCCCAACTTAGTGTACTAAACAACTTATTTAAGTCCAACCCAATTCAAGCCAAACCAGTCAAACACTCCAAGCTCAATCCTAACCAGTCCAATCCAGCCCACCAAACAAGGTTTTGGTAGTTTATTTTTGGGGGCTGATATGTTTGGGGTTTGAGTATGGGTGGGTTTGCTGGGTTTGGGTGGTGGGGGTTATTGGGTTTGGATGATGGTGGATGAGGATGATCGAGAGAGGGGGAGAGATGGGTTTGTGTAGTTAATTTTTTTTAAAAAAAATTAAATCTATTTTTTAATATTTAATTTGGATTATAAAGTATTTTAATAGCTAAATTATTAAAATTCCCCTACCACGTCAGTACACTTAACGGTTTTGTGAATAGAAATGGACAAAAGTGTTAAAGTGAGAAAATTTTAGCAATTTTTAGAGATTTTGGAAGTTAAGTGAGAAACGGGTAAAGTGAGACCAAGCGCCCGTTTCAAGGGGTATAACAATAATTAAGCCAAAATCATTGTAGTGCTTGCAAATGGAAATTATTTATTTTACTAATCCAAACCGTCTACTTTTTATAGATATTCATTCAAAGATCATCTCTACAAAAAATCACTTGAATCTGATATCATTTTACCATTCAATTAAATTATTGAAATTTAATACTCTCTTGAAGTATCGTGTTTATTGATTTTGTTGATCTCTATTAGATATCATAATGATTTTCAATTTGTATGATTTTTTTTTACAATGATGATATATGAGTGAAGACTTGAAAAATAGACGGTTTAGATCGTTGGAAAAAAGAGAGTCTTAAGGTACCCTAAAGGGTGTCCTTCAAATAAAATTATTTGAAAAATCCTTCAGTAGAAAGGGACTATATATATAGTAGAAATTGTTACATCACTAGTAGTCAACTAAATATGATTAAATGTTTGAAATCTTTTTGAATTTATAAACTCATGTTGGTCAAGTATTTCAAAAAGTTCGTCATTGATTGATAGATAGTCAACTTATGATTGTATAGATAATGGTAAAAATTGTGGTAGAAATTTTTTCTTATAATAATATAAATAACTAATAGTCTACAAATTATGATTACCTAATCGTGCCTAATCGTGGGATATCAATTACCTTTCAGGCAAAATCGTGGGAAGCCACCAAACTGCTATTCACCTGATATTGGCAAGACATTCAAGTATCCAATTGCAAATCGTGTATCTACTGAGAAGCTGTCTGAACCACTCAAGACTTTTGTGCATCAGTTGTCTGCTATCCATATTCCAACCAAGGTCTCTGAAGCATTGAAAGATCCTAAGTGGGTCCAAACTATAAAAGAGGAGATGAAAGCTCTTGAGAAAAATCAGACTTGGACATTGGAGACTATACCACAAGAAAAAAAGACTATCGGATGTAGATGGGTGTTTACTAAAAAACACAATGCAGATG